GGGGCGGGGCCGGGCGTGGAGGGTGGAGCCGGAGTCGGGGGGTGGGTTCTAGAGCTGGGCCGCATTGTGGCCCAGTTCCTGGTGCGTGGTTGTTGATTTCTTTCCGTTTGTGGTACTGTAATAGGGTATTTGTGTGCTGGCCCGGCTGTGTCCACACCCCATTGCGCGCGTCTTCCTGGGGTGAGTGTGGTGGGAGGGAAACCGGCCGAGTGCTGTCAGTGAGGCGGTCTGAGGCGACTCCTGGGACTCGTACAGGGAGACGCAGGGCTCTGTTTAGTCTTGTTCTACACAGTAGCTCCAGCGTGGAGCTCGCTGGTGTACAAGGCTCTTCGTAAACGTCTAAGTCAATGCATAAGTGAATGAGAGAATTACTGTCTTTGTGAACTTGAGCAAGTGATGTAGTCTGTCAGTGCTTCACTTTCCTTTTCTGTAAATGATCTCTTGTTAAAAAAAATATGTATAATTTCCATCTGTCTCAGCCAATACTTTCGTAAAATACGATAAAATTACTAGATAAATGAAATGGAGGAAATCGACATAAGTACAAGCCTGAGGTTTTTTATTATTGAGTTCAGCAGACATGAAATTGGATTATAGGAGTATAAAAATAAATTCTCAATTTCTGCATTTATCTCCTTAAGGAGTGGTACCAACCAGTTCACAGACTGGCAGTGTTCTGGATTATAGGATCATTTTAGTAGTTCTTATTGTGAAAATTTTTCTAAAACCCAAGGATTAGAAGAAGCCTGGTGTATTAGTTTTCTGTTTTCTCTCCTAACAAATTACCACAAATTTAGTGGCTTAAAACAACCCAAACTAATCCGTTTTAGGGCTGTAGGTGAGAAGTTTGATGGGGGTCTCCCACTGAGCTAAAATCCAGGTGTTGGCAGAGTTGCTTTTTTTTTTTCTTCTGTAGGTTCTGGGGAGAATCTGTTTTCTTCTTTGTTCTAGCTTGACTCATGGCCCAGTTTCACCATCTTCGTAGCCAGCAACAATAGATTGAGCCCTTCTCACACCGCATCACTATGACAATCTCTCATACCTCCTTCTACTTGTGAGGTCTTTTGTGATTACATTGGGCCTACCCAGATAATCCAGGATAATTTTATTGTAAAGTCAGCTGATTAGCAACCTTAATTCCACCTGCAATTTAATTCCCCTTTTTCATGGAAAGTAATTTATTCACAAATTCTAGGCATTAGGATGTGGACTTCTTTGGGGTGGGGGTGTATTATTCTGTCTATCATATCTGGAGGAGTCATAAAATCCTAACAGATTAGCTGTGACTGACCTGAAGCCATCTAAGGGATGGATTTTAGGTCCATCCTTGGTCTAGATCTTTGAGGATTAAGCTCAGTAAGGCAGGAAACATAAATAAAATTCTGTGCTCTTTCTCCAAATATTTGTCTAGGAAAGGAATTTCTCTGTGTTTCTCACCTTCCAAGAAATATCTCTTTCACCTTCGCCCTCACATACCATATTTTGAGCACCTTTGGAAGTCCCAGAAAATAATTCTCAATTGCTGAGTTAATTGTGGCAAGAATGAAAATTGTAGCATCACGTGTATATTAAGTGTTTGAAACTCAAAATCTCTCACACTTCAGGGTTTCACATGGTAAGCAGTAATAAATGTTTAATGAAGGAAACAACCAAGAAGAGTGATCAAGATTCCCTTTTCTTTCTTTTCCAAGACAGTTCCAATTGGGCTGCTCAGATTTTCCAGAAAGGTTCGGGTGTTTCCTGGCAGTCCCAGCACATCCATTAGATTTGTTCAGTCTAGCTCAGGCTGAAGGGAGTCTCCCTGGGCAGTTGTTCTCTACCTAACACAGGTTAGATAACATTCTGCTACATGGGAAATAAACGTGTTTGGTTGTGATATGTGGTTCACCTTTTCTTTTTCATAATTATTTGGTGTCTTGGTTTAATGGAAAAAAAATTCCCTTGGAAGACGGTATCAAGAGGCTGGGTTGTCGTTTCCATTCTGCAAGTTCTTAGCCTTTATACATTTTGAATTACATGGACCGTTTTACTGATTCTTAATAGATACTGCTCATTGCTGTTGCTCCCTGGTCCAGGTCATTATACACACTGTGGAGAGTGTTATCTTTCTAAAGTTGGGCTCTATAGTCAGACTTAATGAAGTGATTTTTTTGCTTTCCTTGGGAATCTTGTAAACCTCCATTCACACTGCCTACAAGATTAAATATACATCTGTCTGCCATGGGAGAAACCTGCCGCCATTTAGGACAAAGCTTAGGCTCAGTTTCAGGTTGCAGGATTCAGACACTGATTCTGCCATCTTACTGGCTGAGTTTGGGCAAGTTGCTTAGCTTATCTGAGTTTGCTCTTTTATCTCAAAGTGGAAGTAATACTCTAACTGGACTTATTGGGAATTTTACATGAAATAATACATTTAAAGTGCTCTCAGTATATGCAGTGATGGTGTAGAGTAAGCTTTCATTCAATACATTTTAGCTTTTATGTGGCCCCAGCCATTTTTCTCCAGCCTCCTGCCTTCCAGAGAATAGTTTCACGGAGATGCTTTCACAACTGCACAGTTCTTTGAATGAAATCCCACTGTTTTCTTAAATAATTACTAATAAACTTTAATTTTCAGACCATGTAGGTTTATCAGCTGTAACAGATATACCACTCTGTTGGGGAATGTTGATAATGGGGGAGACTATGCATGTGTGGGGGGCAGGAGGTGTATGGGATATCTCTGTACCAAGCCTCTCAATTTGCTGTGAAATGCTCTAAACAATTAAGCTTTTTTTTTTTNCTTTCTAAAGTTGGGCTCTATAGTCAGACTTAATGAAGTGATTTTTTTGCTTTCCTTGGGAGTCTTGTAAACCTCCATTCACACTGCCTACAAGATTAAATATACATCTGTCTGCCATGGCAGAAACCTGCCGCCATTTAGGACAAAGCTTAGGCTCAGTTTCAGGTTGCAGGATTCAGACACTGATTCTGCCATCTTACTGGCTGAGTTTGGGCAAGTTGCTTAGCTTATCTGAGTTTGCTCTTTTATCTCAAAGTGGAAGTAATACTCTAACTGGACTTATTGGGAATTTTACATGAAATAATACATTTAAAGTGCTCTCAGTATAGTTTACATGAAATAATACACTTAAAGTGCTCTCAGTATATGCAGTGATGGTGTAGAGTAAGCTTTCATTCAATACATTTTAGCTTTTATGTGGACCCAGCCATTTTTCTCCAGCCTCCTGCCTTCCAGAGAATAGTTTCATGGAGATGCTTTCACAACTGCACAGTTCTTTGAATGAAATCCCACTGTTTTCTTAAATAATTACTAATAAACTTTAATTTTCAGACCATGTAGGTTTATCAGCTGTAACAGATATACCACTCTGTTGGGGAATGTTGATAATGGGGGAGACTATGCATGTGTGGGGGGCAGGAGGTGTATGGGATATCTCTGTACCAAGCCTCTCAATTTGCTGTGAAATGCTCTAAACAATTAAGCTTTTTTTTTTTAATGCGTGTAAGATGCTGTTTAAAAATTTAAGTATATGCTTCAACTAGAGGTTGAGCAGTACCATTTAAAGAGACAATAAAATCAAGTTTAATGCGTGTAAGATGCTGTTTAAAAATGTAAGTATATGCTTCAACTAGAGGTTGAGCAGTACCATTTAAAGAGACAATAAAATCAAGTTTTTCACAGCAAAAAACTCAAAAAACCACCAGAAAACAACCACGCACATGCCATTCTGTTTAATCCCCAATTTAAGGGCATTTGTAATCATTGATTTGTTAACTTGTGATGCCAGAGTAACATGTGCACACTTTAGAATAAAGTTTTCCCTAACTTTTCTCCTGAATAGAGTGTAAGTTTCTGGAGGGCAGAGCTACTTTGTCTCTCTTGTTCTGATGTGTCCCCAGAACCTAGTACAGTTCTTGACCCTAGGCAGGCACTCAGTCAATATTTGCTGAGTTAGCACAGTGGGTTAGAGCGCAGTGTTACAATACTAAGGTCAAGGGATCGGATCCCCCTACCAGCCAGCTGCCAAAAAAAAAAAATTTGCCAAATGGTTGAATGAATGAATAGTACATATAGTGCATATTTGAACTTCAGTTATACCTGGTCTGTCTTTGAAATTGCAACCTGTGACTGCTGACAAACAACTGTAGAAGTGAGAGTAGTACAGGAGCATATCAGTTAAATGTGC